GTTTGAGATGTGCAATTATGTTCTGAGTCAATTTCAAGTGTGTTCGGATCTATTACGAGAGCCTCGGGAGGAGTGTTTGAGTCGTTTTCAGCTTTGCTTTGAGGCTGTGGGAATCAGTTTGTGTTTTTGTTGTGTCTGTTTTTACTGTGTCATGAGTTTGTTTGAGTCTATTTGTTTCTTAGTTTGTTATAAGTTTGTTTCAGTCTATTTTCAGTCTGTAAGTCTGTTTGAGTCTTCTGCAGTCCTGTCCTCAATCCGTTTCAGGTCTATAACTGGCTGTGAAGTCTGTTATGTCACTGTTTGAGTCAGTTTGAGCCTCTTTTCAGGATAGGTGAATGTGTTTAAGTCTGTTTTCATGTACAGGTCCATTTGAGTCTGTTTGATTTTTTTTTCAACTTGTTCTAAATGTATGTGTGTCTATTTTTACTCTGTTTTTATTGGGGAAAATTGGCAAAAATTGCAGATACACCGGTTTGCAAACGTATCCTAGCAACTTTACTGGTACGCCCAGGTATGCTAGCAAATATACCCGTAAAGTATCAGAAATACCATTTTTGGAAGGTCTTTGTGCAAATTTACCCATAGGTACCTTCTTTTGTAGCAGAGGCCCCGTCGGACTGGCCTAAGGCAAGGGCTCAAAGGCCCACAGGGCCTCTGTTGCAAAATGAGGTACCAGGCAGTATAGTTGTCGTTGAACGTCGCGAACCGGTATTTCTGCTCAGATACACCTAAAACAAGGTTATGCTTCTCGCAAACGTGGCTTTTTTTTTTTTTGGCCGCCGATAATACCCGATTGAGAAGGGTCGCGCGACCTTGCTTATTCGGTGCACTGCACTCCGCTAAGTGGTACCGGTTTCGGCAGAACCGGAGCCACCATTCAGGGCGCTACCATCGCTGATATCGCCTTGGAGTCGTTCCCCCACATGCTCCCCTTGTGGAGCGGATATGGCGCACTTTTAGCCATAGGAGCGGACGATAGGAGGAGGAAGCGTGACCCCTCCCCCCCCCCCCCCCCAGTAGCAGTAGCAGTTATCTCCACTCTAGGAGTTGTTTGAAGGAAGCTAAGAGAAACAACGGAGAGTCGGAGACCTAAGAAGGAAGAAGAAAGAGAAGTTGAACGAAGCCCAGCAAGATGAAAGCCACGTCAACCCAAGAGGGTACAGGGAGATCCCCACCACCAGGCCCACATGAGGAGAAGGACTATTGGGAGGATGAGGAAAAGATCATGAGTTTACTATCATTGTGCTTTGATGATGGCGTATATCAAACGCAGTTGACGCAGAACACGACTAACTGACTTCACGAACAACACTCTTCGACCAACACAGACATCAGAACATAGTCAACATAGAAAATGACAACAGGAGTTAGATGGGAGAGACGAGGAAAGACAAAAGGACCAGAAACAACACAAGTGCATGTAACCCGAACGCGACGTTGATTAAAAAATATAACAATGATGAACAGCGGGTGGACCCGACATGTTACGGCTGGTCCGCTACCCAGCCTCCTTAGGGGTCTTGGTCGTCGCAAGTGCGATGAGTAAACCGTGCACTGCGTATATGTAGCAAAATGAGAAACAGTCCGACCTACAGCCACCGCTGCTAAGAGAAACCACGTCCAATGATTTTGCCGCAAAGGTCAACTAGATACATGAGAAATAGCCTAAACAAAAAACACAGAGAAAACAAGAACTAACAGCACCTACTAGTTGTATCGCGACAACAAACGTCCAGACCTAGATATCAATATGTACCACAAAGGGCCGACCACGGCGCGAAACCAAATGCGCCTCAAGCTATAAGACCAAAGGTCCCCTTGTACCCAAAATAGGACCAGGTAAGGGGCATGTGAAGAAAAAGGACTCTGAGCCATCAATACCCGGGTATCGAGAGATACGCTAAAAAACAGATCGCAGTTCAAAACCTTATGCATCACTCAGTTTCTTATCGAGATTAGTAGGTCCCCCTATGCAATACTAGAAGGACGTAAAACAAACAAACCCACAACCAGACCTTATACTTTCACCAATCAGTCTCATTATTCACAACCATATCGTCGACAAGACAATCAGTAGCCTAAAAGGAAAACAAGAAAACGAATCAAACCAGGGCCCTAACACGAGCCTATTCAAACAGCGTCTGCAACGACCTTTCTCCATGAGAACAGTCGGTTCCACTTAGTCAAGATACCCAACCAATGATCCCAACAGCCAGCGAACTTACGAGAGAACTTCTCAAGAGCAGTATCAAAATAGGAATCCGGATAACCGCGCAGCCACATCTCATGTTTGAGTGTGAGAAGGAAAGCAACTTCCAAACTAGGAAGATTTGTAAATACCCGAGCTCGATGTAAGAAGGAAGTAATCACGACCATCTTCTGCTGCTTTCTCGAAAATGACGAAAAATTCTGCAGTATGAAAAACAAGCCCTTGATCCGAAATAACCCTCTGATTCTTACTATGCAACGCCACGCAGTCAATTATGCATGGGTCAATGAAGACTTTAACAACACAACCAAGGAAACCCCAAGCACTGCCCTCATTCGTCTCCTTCAACGTAAGATACAAGTCATAGCACTTGCGAAAAGAATCCACCACCGACTGAGCCCGAGAAAAAGAAGAAGTAGAAGATTTCGAAAACCGTATGAAAATAGAAACATCATCAACAATACGAAATCCAGCAATCAACTTCCGATCCGAACCAAGGGAAGACAAGAAACAAAATTCATTGTATGCACATAAAAGACAAGCAAGAGCAGGGCTGGTAGATTTTCCCATCGGAATGCCCAGCACCTGCCTCAACAATACACCAGATGCGAGAATAAAGGTATGATCCAGATCGTGAGAAACGTAGCTATATAGAATGGAGAATTTTATCAGCACCCATCCATCCTCAGATCGCCCTCTCGTCAGATGCGCAATCTTACCATGCTTTCTTACCAACACCCCAGTGTATCCCACACCAGCCCAATGGTCAATAACCCAACGTAATGCCTTACGAATTGAGTAATGGGGCAGATTTGAGAACATCTCCTTAATATCAAAGAAGACCCTCAAACAACAGTCATCTTTCTTCGTCAGTTGATTGAGAGAATTGATCCCGTCCATGAAATCAGACGTACTGCGAAGATTGAAATGGAGGGAGCAAGGAAGTCGCCACATGAGTTCATTTACCGCATAAGCAACACGCTTGCCACAAACCGCAGCACCTTCAGAGTGTGATGGGCAGATGGGCCGCCATCAGCCAGTATCTTTGTGCTTGGGCAACCCATAGGCATTACCAAAATTGTCGTGCTTATTCCATTTGCCAACTTTCTCAAAACCCTGCTGCACATGCAACGAGTCACACGAAGAGAAGACGTCCTGACTGCAGCACGTGTCACACAAGAAGGAGGGATTGTCCGTAAACAACATGCCCATGCCTCCGCCATACACGACTGGACAACACACCAATGAGTCACCTGGGTTGTGGTCAATCGGACAACACACCAGGCCTTCAAAACGCCTACTCTGCGCCTTCATCATAGATTCAAAGATATAAGAGTCAGTGGAGACGTTGGTCAAACAACAGTGTAACTCATCGAACGAGAGCTCAGAAAGCGCCGTACCAGCATTCAACTCAGGGAAGGAGAGAAAAGCCGCACGAATCTGTCTCCGCAACATCCCAATAGGATCATCAGCAGAAGGTCGCAAAATATTTTTCGAATTGCTCATCCACGAAGGGAAAGACTTATCCTCACTAATGCGGAAAACCACATGCTCATTGACATGAGCCAAAAAAGAATCAACAGAGGAACACGCACACCGATACTAGGCTTGCCTGGAGAAAGCACGAAAAATGTGAATACAATCTCCAATTGTCTTATTTCTCTGCCACACCACATGCATCCTCCGCACAAGCACGGACCGCCATTGTTCGTTGATATTCAACCGACGAATTACTCCAACACATGCCTTACGAATCCCACTTTTGCAGAAGGCCACATCATAGGTGATTCTCACAACAAGACGCTTACGAATTGGAAGACCAAACCTAGATGAAATGCATTTCCCAAAAATCAACCGAAGTCGAAAACGGAAACGTTTCTCCGAGAAGCATCTAACAAAAGAAAAGGGGAAAATCAATGAATTGAGATCCCAGGTAGCAAGTGTGCGTCGAGCAGTAGGATTACTAAGAAAGGGGACAAGGACGGCTTTGAAAAGAAGAGAACGGTAGCAGAATGGGTGAAGGGATTGAAAATTGATAAAGGCACCATCCACAAACCAACCTCTCTACTTACGCAACTGATCAGATCCAAAACTGCATGAAATCACCGAAGAACCATAACAGCGTCTCAGAAGCTTCCATGAGTCAATAAGTGACGGCCCTCCCCTACGGACAATGGAAAATTGATGTACATGGTGATCCCGATAATAATCAAGAACTTGTAACAGGCTGTGAGACACGATCCCTACGGACGAGTAGAACAGCATTAACCCAGTCCTGGAAACCTCCACCGCAGCCCGCGGTGCACACGTCACCAAACCCGCATCCTTCTTCCGTTTCCTACCCCGTTCTCGTTTTCCCAACCAATGACGTCGTTGACGTATTGGTCGCTCCCTAGTGTTAAGCGCAGGACAAAATTGCTTAATGAAAAAACGCTCCACCGAAAGAAGGTCCTCCTTCGGGCAAAAAGACAAGGGAATAGCAACATAATTCTCTACTCCCACACGTCGGAACCATCCATACAGCCTCTCGTTCTGACGGCCATTATTAATAAGATTATCACTCTTCGCACGGTAGACGTGCTCATTCCAGCAGGAGGACAAGTCTCGACTAGTACTGTCGATATACACGTGCCTACACACAGGTGACACAAGCAAGTAAACCAGCGGATCACTATCAAGATCATTCCCACGTGATTGCCAAAACTTCAGCACATGATCTCCGAACTTAGTAGCCCAAGGAATGCATGAGGCCAACCACGACAAGCTGGAGGAAGGAATTGAGCGTCCTACAGCGAAGGTATGAGATCGAGGTAGATCTGAGTGCAAAGAAACGTCGAAATAAGTTCCAAAGAGTCGTCACGTCCGGGAGAGACATTAAGAGACAGAGTCTCCCCCGGATGATCTCTCACCAACAGCATCGGCCAGATCCTCCGAAACTTCCACGGTTACCGGAGGGAACGCCTTCTTGACCCGATGCGCGACCATGTCGTCCACTGTTTGCTTCACCCCCACGTACTTGACACCTTCCTTATCGCAGATAGCCATGAGTGCATCCTTAGTCATCCCTCTCAACGATTTCCTCTCATCCTTCGCAAACGCCTCTTTCTCCTTTTCGTCTGCCACCACTTTGTCCTTGCCCTTTTTCTCCTTGCCCTTGCCAGTACAGACTTCGTCCATCTTTGAACGCAGGTTAGACCGAGAGGTCTTCTGCGACATTTCACGTTCCATCCGTGCGATCTTTTCTTTCGCCTTCTCCAGGTCCTGCTCAGCCTCCCTTCGTGCATTAAACTCATGAATGCGCATCTCCTGAATGGTTTCGACCTCCAGTCAGTGCATATCCGAAATCTTCTTGAGGTCGGCTGACATCACCGCGGACTTGAAGAGTGTCGACGTGGAAGGCCTTGAAGTCGTTTTTGCAGCAGGTGTATTCAGCGAGATGCAACCGCGTTTCCCTGGTCGCAAAGCCTCCTAGTGCCACTTCTCCGCGTTTGTCAGTGCTTCATCACACGCATGAATAACCTCGTGCATTTCCTTCTCTACCAACTTCAGCCGCCATTTCGCCATAAGAGCCTCATCCAACTGGCTGTTCATCCGCTCCTGCTTAGCCAGTAGCTTCGCAAGTACACTATCATTATCGTGGACCGTACCTTGGACAAAACTTGTCGAAGCGCCGCCCTGCCTTGCCTTTCCCCCAAGCTTCTCTACCTCCTTGCGCAGAGCTTCGACTTCATTGTTGTTACCTTTGTTATGCAAAACGTCAACAACACCATTCAGTCTCGTATTCATAGAATCAGTAAGCGACTTACGAAAATCTTCCCTCTCCTTCCTTTCTGCTTCACGTCGCTCTTCATCGGCTTTCTCTTTCAATGCCTTTTCTTCTTCAGCCTTCATATTTTTCTCCTTCTCAACTTCGGCATCATGCGTCTCAGCAATGATATGCTCCAGGTAATCAAGCCGTTGCTTTGCTTGATTCCATCCAGAACCCCTGGAAAACTGCCCTGCACCACTATTAATAGCAATAGCATCATTATTGGAAGAAGATGCGTACAACAAGGTGGGCAGAGGTTGTTGTGTGGGGATAAGAGCAGAATGAGGGTTAGCTGGTTTAGGGTGGGGAAACCATCTAATGAAGTGACCCGGATCGCCACAATTATAACAGGTACGTACAATCGTGGAATTAGGAACATTAGACGCCATATTCCAAAGGTGGAGGAGATAAGAGTGCTACATGTAAAATATCGAAGCCACACAAACACGTAGTATTATCCCTACGGTGGTTATTCCATGAAACGAAGCAGTTGACACAGAACACGACAAACGGACTTCACGAACAACACTCTTGGACCAACACAAACATCAGAACATAGTCAACATAGAAAATGACGACAAGAGTTAAATGGGAGAGACGAGGAAAGACAAAAGGACCAGAAGCAAAGGAAGTGCATGTAACCCGGACGCGACGTTGATTAAAAAATATAACAATGATGAACAGCGGGTGGACCCGACATGTTTCGGCTGGTCCGCTACCCTGCCTCCTCAGGGGTCTTGGTCTTCGCAAGTGCGATGAGTAAACCGTGCACTGTGTATATGTAGCAAAATGAGAAACAGTCCGACCTACAGCCACCGCTGCTAAGAGAAACCACGTCCAATGATGTTGCTTCAAAGGTCAACTAGATACATGAGAAATAGCCTAAACAAAAAACACAGAGAAAACAAGAACTAACAGCACCTACTACTCGTATCGCAACAACAAACGTCCAGACCCACATATCAATATGTACTACAAAGGGCCGACCACGGCTCGAAACCAAATGCGCCTCAAGCTATAAGACCAAATGTCCCCTTGTACCCAAAATAAGACTAGGTAAGGGGCATGTGAGGAAAAAGGACTCAGAGCCATCAATACCCGGGTATCGAGAGACACGCTAAAAAACAGATCGCAGTTCAAAACCTTATGCATCACTGAGTTTCCTATCGAGATCAGTAGGTCCCCCTTTGTATATCGAACGAAAATTGACCCTAGAGAGATCATAGTTGGAGGTAGAGAGGTCAGGTTTAAGTTAAACACATCACTCGACGATATTAAGGCTAAATGGCTTAAAGAGCGAACAATGACAGTTATTTACAGGGACGTTGCGAGATTTCTGCCAAAGAATATCAAAGATAATTTTGTCCGAATCTTTAAAGATGGATGGATAATTGGGAACGAGGTTTTACCTGAGAACTAGAGAAGAGGGAGGATTAAAATAGATTGTTCAGGGGTGGCGTCCTTTGTTGCTAAAGCAAAGGAGGTGGCGGAGTATATGATCTAAGAGCAAACGGTGGAAGTGACCCTAGGGAGTAAATCATACAAAATTTTGTTCAAGCCTTTGATGACTCGAGCATAGTTTAGGGAATTGAGGAAGCAGGAGGAGGATAGGGTATTTTGGGTGACGGCGCTCCAGGTGCCACTCTATGACACGTCGTTTATCAATGCGCAAATAGAGAAAGCAATAGGTAAGATTACACTAACGCATCTAACAAGTGCATATCCGATGAGACCAGCGCTAGTCAATGCCCGGTTCGACCTCGTCCCAGAAGCCCATCCAAATATGAAAGACGTACTATGGATAGAAACGACGAAAGAAGATAGACTTGATATCAAACTAGCGTCGGCAAACACGGTCAAGTGAAATACCTGCAGGCAATTCTTCCATACAGAACAAGAATGTTGGAGAAACAGAGGGCAGCAGTAGGGTGGAACGGGAGCAGAGCAAGGGCGGCAACATTATCCTCAGTAGCAGCAACAACAAGCGTCGACACTATCACGATACCAAGGACTGCTAGGTCCGAGAAGTGGAACCCAGCCTCGTCAGGTGCAGCAAGTCACGCTTGACTCGGCTGGAGTCATGCGGATCAACCCGACGTTCTTCCCACAAGGCACGCGAGGAGGTGGCACACAACTTAATAGGGGCGGTCGAGGGGCGGCTTCCCTTGAGGAATTTCGCAGGGCATTGGGCAGACCGATGGCCAGGGACACTTTGGTGTAGAAGGAGGTATTCGGGGAGGCGGTCCTCAACAAGGACAGATGGGAGGGGGCCTCCCAAGAATAGTCCCGGTGGGACTCGATCAGTTCAACAGCAAGGGCCCGTACGGTATGCCTAACCATCAAGGAGGACAAACGGTGGCATGACAAGGAGGGGCGGTATCGGTGGAATAGCTTTTAGCGAACAACATGCACTTGTCCCTTCGGGCACGATTGTTGAACTCGCAAGGGAAGCTCCAGCGGGGTGCCAAATGGGAGGCAACATGCATCTACCAGGATCAGCAGCCCTTGCAATGATGAGAGGACAGGGGCACTCCATTGTCGCAGAACCATTTGGGGGAGGGCCAAGAGATGGAATTGGAAGCGGACAAGCGGGACCAAGGGCAGATCCAGGGTCAGTCACAAGCAAACCCCGAGGAGCAGGAAAACAGAGAAGGTTGAGCATGACATATCGACCAGGGATCACGCCAAAACCATCGAGAGGCTCAAGGTTATCAAGAAGCGGTTTAGAAAGGTCGGTGAGTCAAGAGGTAGGGATGGTGACGCCAGGGCAGAAAACAACGAGGGATCGAAGACTCACGTCAACACGTGAACATAACCCAGAGATATCGTAGTACTTAGTGCCTTTGGTTTGCAAGGCTCTTCGGAATACACTATGGGTACATTGCGTAGTGACGTGGCAGAAGAACACGGGTCCGTCACTGATTTTTGGACAATTGGTCACAGAGATGCCATCAACTCCGGAAATTGAGAGTTGCCTGAGGAATCTGTATCTCGACTCATTTCCAATGAGGATTATTCCAGATGTCGTGATGTCGATAATACTTTTCGGCCCGACAAGGAACAAAGCGAAATTTTATGTTCCGCTGGTGGATGTTAGACTGACGGAGCAGAAGCTGGCAGATCTTGAAACACTCCATTTGAGGCTAATCCTGCTGGCCATCTTTGCGGAAGCAAAGAAACAGGAACTAGCGAGATTCATGATCTCCCCGATCATGATGACAGCAGATGCCATCGTGGAGCTGAAGATGAGGCTGCATAAGGAGAAGAAACTGGACTCTAGTTTCTTGAAGACAACTCTCACACAAAGTTGGCCTGAAGAACGATCAATCAACACTCACATCCAACGTCAACAAGGAGCAGCAAACGTGAATGGTTAAGATCAAGATAGCGACATGAAATCTGCAGGGTTTCGGGGACACTGCCGGAAGGAGTAAACGGACGAGGGTCAAATATTGGTTGCACGACAACAACATATTGATTGCGTGCCTTCAAGAGACAAAGTTGAACAACGAGTAGAGGAACTAGAAAGGTGGTGGGACGGGGCGCAAATTTTCTCGGCGGCTCAAGAGACAAAGGGAGGGGCCAGAATCCCAATCCACAGGGACTTGGAAGCTCAAATAGTTAATTACTATGCAGACCTTTTGGGCCGCTGGGCTTGGGTGATCGTCAGGCAAAAATACACCACGTAGCCGGTAGCTTCGATGTATGCCCCGGTGAGAAGAAAGGAGAGGATCGCATTCTTCAATGAATTGCGAGTGACTCTCCCAAATGTTGACGAGGTAATCATTGGTGGAGACTGAAATACAGTTCTCGATTCACCGCTAGATCAAAGGGATAAAGGAAGCTCGAAGGACGTACTTGCCTTGGTGAATTTAATGTTGGACCTCAATCTCCACGATGTGTAAAGTGACTTGCGTCCTACACAACCTGGATACACCTGGTTTTCGCATCGAGGGAAAGGGAGAAGACTCGATTACCTGGTTGTGGGAGGAAATCTGAAGAAACATGTGATTAACGTTGAGTTATCAATCTGGTTTTGGACCACAAACCGGTAATCAGATAGTTTACCTCCGCCAAAGAGCAACAAAGAGGTAGAGGATATTTTAAGATAAACACCTTGAACCTGTGTGTCCGATTTTGAATTCAACGCAGATTCCGCGTTGAAAAATTCAACGCTTGTTGAATCCGCATTAAACTCTCGTTCAAACGACGCGCGTTGGACGTGAATTAACGACGTCCACGATGATTTTTTTCCTGGGCTAAAAATATATATATATATATCGTCACAAACATATAGGCTTGTAGGTTTTGTTGAGGACTACAACCCTATATTTTGATTTTTATTTTTTAATGTTTAAATATATTTTTATAAAATCAAAAACATAAACACACAATAAAAAAACAAAAACTAAAATGAAATGAGTGCTTTTTTTTTGGGTTTCACGCAAATTTTTTAAGGGCTCAAACAAAATCAGAAAAACAAATAAAAAATATAGGGTTGTAGATCTTTCACACATGTAAAACAATTTATTTTTTATTTATTTTTTTTAGAACTTTGTGTATTTAAAAAAAAAATCAAAACCATAAAAAGCAAATAAGAAAAAGGAAAAAAAGACACACACACACACAAAATTGAGCCTGTAACAGATTGCATGAGCCTGACGTCCGAAGTTCCCGTACGGCATGGTTCGTCCGCCTCCGCTTCTATTAGGGATGGGAGGTTGGCCCAACCCTGGTGCTTGTCACTGCTATGTGGTCCAAGTTGCCCTCAATACTGGTAGGGTGATGGTTCTCAATGCTGGTCACATTGAGGTAGGATAGTAGGGACAGGACGTGCCTCCCAACCATGTTGGCTTAAAACCTTACTGATACAGACTGGGAGGATCTAGCTGACTATCTCAGTTGGTTGGCATCGAGAGTGTCGTAGGCGGGGATTGAACCCACAACCTCGTGAATGTCACTTGCGTGCCTAATCAACTGAGCTAGGTCATTGGACGGAGCCCAGATTCTTGGATCGCAACAGGGGAAAAAAAAAAAAAAAAAAAAACCTGAAAAACGAATAGCAAGCTACTGAGGGTTGTGCCGCCCCACACGGGGCCAGAAAAAATGACATTTCAAGCTCTAAACTACTAGCAGTGTATCTACATGTGTTCTACCAGATTCATGGCAAAGGTAAGTACGTTTTTTTTTTTCTTTTCTTTTCTTAGCAAGCCTTGCCAACGAGGCATGGCAGTCCGTTCTAGATTTCGTTACTTGATAACAAACAGCAGAATGCTTGGATACTGTATTTCTGGGAAGATGTAGTAGAAGAGAAAAAAAAAATTACTTAGACCCAAATCGCCCGCACAAACCCACATCGCCCGCCCCCTGTTTTCAACGGGAAAAAACTATATCCCTCAAAAGGGAAACAATGCACACACGCCAACAATCATGCACACACACACACACACAC